TAAAATCAGACATTTAATCACAACAAACTAGCGGTTTAAAAAAAGCTTATTTTGTATTGTTTTAGCATAAGCGCTGACGACTTTACTATATTTACGATGTATTCATTCATGCTAGCAAGCGCATGCGTATATGCGAAATTTAACGCGTAGGTATAAACTACGATTTTATCAATGAACTGTTATTTTTTGTTTTCTTTAAAGGAATGTAGAGTCTATTATTTCATGGAAATGAACGATTTGGAAATTTCAAAGCATTTAAACAATTTTGCAAACACTATTTTAATGATATGTAGTCGGAATGTAACGCTACTGCAGAATGAAGAACTAGTTTCTATAGCGGTTTTTATCCGGGAGTGAATGTTGTTCGGTAATGCATTAAACCTGTATCTTTTCTGAGATATAGCTTATAACTCTGTATACATTGCAAGCAATGTATACAAATAGAAAAAACACAGAATTCCTAAAGAATTCCTAAAGAACATCCGGTTTTATTGAACCTGTTCATGGAAGTTACTGGAAAATGCAAGCTACCGTCCATGACCTCTAGTACCGGGTTAAGAAGAATTCAACATTTAACTTGAAATTGCTAAATTTTGATGCATCCACAAATATGTTTATACGGCGGTTATCAGGGAACCTTCAATGTGACACGTTAGTGCCATTCGATATGTTCACCAAGTAAAAGAATGCACGTGCCGTAAACGAAAAACAATGGGCGGAAATTAATAAAATGAAACGGAATTTGGAAAGGAATCAGATGTTATGAAGCCTTGGAGACTTGGTTCAACATTTTTCGAGAGTCACGAGAACAATCTACAAGAACAAGGTGTGCTTCGGTGTAATAAACTTACTGTTACACTTTTTGATCCGAAAATTAACACTATTACTTAGGTTCTTTATCCTAGTGTAGATTTTATATTTAGATAATTTTCTCATATGTAAATGTCAAAATGAACACTGTAAAGTTTCTAATTCTAACTCTTGAAAAAGAAACGACGCTTTATTTCGTACCGTTGGAATATTTCACTGACGGATATTCCGTTTTTTTGGCACATATTTCTGATCGATTTTATCGAGTAAAATAACTCACTGATAAACGGTTTGCCTCAATTCCATTCAAAACCCTGATTGGTTACTTGAATTAGATTGATCTAGAATAGGCTCATTTTCCATAAGAAGTTTTTTTTATATGAGTGACAAAACTATAAATGTATCATTTATATATTCTTATAAACAAAATGTTGGCAGAGCTCTAAGTAATCTAGTGTAAACATTAATTTTATAAGACAAATAATAATAAATTGTTCTAGAAGAATTTATTATCTACTATTTATGTCGGACCATGTATCTAGCACCAATATAAACCTTGCATGTTTTGTTTTTACCACGAATAACAGTTATATCATTTATGTAAAATAGACCTTTAATTTTGTACCACTTCACTTTAATATATTTCTTCTGCAAATTCTCATTTTTGATGCTCACGTAACATTTTCATAGCAATACCATGACATGAACAGAAATATTTTGCCATGTCGAAGCGAATTTTATATATTATGTGTGCGTTTCATTTGTTTAGTAACTATGATGTGTTGATCAAAAGTTCATGATCGTTTCTATTTTTGTTAACATCAAGATGTCATGAGAAAAAATCGTTCAGTCCTTCTGTCAACGTAAAGAAAGCGTTTTACGGAAACATTCAAATGGTTTTACTTTCGATATTCATAAAATAGACTGTTTCTTAGATTCTTCACTCAACACATCAATATTATAATAACGCCTTTAATGTCGTTGTTTTGCTTAGAAGATATGTGAAAAGAAACTACTGTTATGTTTAATAAAGATCGGTCGGTGATATCGGAGCTTAATTTTCTGAATTTGTTTTTTTAGAAGTATCGTGTTCAATTGCTTTGATCGGTCGCTCATAGAAAACTATTCTGTTTTATCTGAAATCCTTTCAATAATCTTAAGTAATGTTAGATAGTTTACCTAGTCAGAGTGTTAAATAACAAGAACTCTGTTTGCTGTTTATTAAAGAAATAACAAAGTAAATGTCCCCTTGATATATCACCCGCGGTGAATGATAATTAACATAGTTCTTTAGAATTAAATTTTCAGTATAAGTGTATTTCTATTACTGCCAAGTAATTTTTATTACTGTTTATTTTCCTACTCGTAGTCAGCATTGCGTCTACGTGTATTTTTTACATATCTACTGCCATCTAAAATTTATTGCAATAAAAAAACGAATAGATTCTCTACGCAAATGACCACTATGACATACTGATTGATTTAAGTGTTGTTTAATATGCTTAACAATCAGTGATTCAAACTAGCCTTAAATGATCGTAGTAGATGTAAACCAGACACAAGTTAAAAAAAGGTAATTTGGAATATAATATTACAAGCCGGCGATTTGATATACTAAAATCGCCATCATGAGAAGAAAAGAACCATTGAGAGCAATGAATACAACGTAAGCAAGAACCGGTTGACCAGGGTGATGCTTCCCGAATAGGTTATGGACACAGAAAAATATACCTCTTGTAGATTCAGAGTTATGTCCCGGTGCAATAATTCCAAACTTAGGCAAGTCAGGGTTACTGCTCTTTGCACAGCTTATCTACGCAATGAAATCTATCTACCTTGATATCTTTATAACGTCAGGGTTATGTCCCGGACAAAATTCAAAGTATAAAAATATAAAAGGGCAATAACTCCAAAATAAGGCATGGCAGAGTTATGGTTTTTTGTGCACTGCACATAAACTACCTACAAAGTGTCTTTGTAATATCTCTTGTAATTTAAGAACTGTGTCCTGGACAATGTTTAAAGTGTAAAAATAGACAAATGGCAATAACTCTTAAATACGGCAAGACAGAATTATGGTTCTTATGCATTGTATTTCTTATCAATAAGATGTGTCTACGTACAAAGTTGCATGTTGATATCTCTTATAGTTTCTAAGTTATTTGTAAGACAATGTTCAATGTATAAAACTAAACAAAGGGCAAAATTAGGTAAGGCATAGTTATGACTATTTTGCACTACACTTTTACCAAATGAGATCTATCTACCTACAAAGTTTCATGTTGATATCTTTTTTAGTTTCAGAGTTATGTCCCGGATAAATTTCGTAGTATAAAATGAACAAAGGACAATGACTCCAAAATTAGACAATGCGATGTTACGGTTCTTGTGCACTGCACATCTGCCTAATGAGGTCTGTCTACCTACAAAGTTACATGTTGATACCTCTTCTTGTTACAGAATTATGTCCCGGACAAGAAAAGCAGACAAAGCGGTGACTATATGCTCACCCTTCAGGGAGAATAAAAAGTGTAAATTAAAGTGAAAATGAAATAGTTGGGTTAATGCTTCATTGATATTTATACACCACAAAGGAGGTGTCAAGTGCCGTAAAAAGTTGCTCAGTACTTCACTTCAGTGTTGTTTTAATTTCCTGGTCATTGGGATTCATTGATTCTAGCACTTTGAAGTGTCGCTGTACTGCTAGGGGTATTGAGGGATATTGCACTTTTTTATTTGCGAATCTGCAATTTTTATATTATTTTGCTGATTTAAATGCTTCCAAGGAACGACATTTTTCAAGATTAACATCTGGTTATTTGTCTAAATTAATTTATACACATCAAAATACATTGTTTCTATTGTAATAAAGCAAGGAAGAACGGTGTGTCATGCGATAATTTTGTAAATTAAGATTACAAAGAAATGTATAACCTTTCATTTCAGCCTTTTGCCGTAGATTTTGAAAGCAATATATTGTCATAGATCTATTATTTATTTTGAGATTTTACATTTGTCAACTTCGATTTCTCAAGCATTTAGGTAAGGATGTTTAGACCTTAAAGCAGAAGTTTTTAGTATAAAACGTACAGTTCTAAAGTCATAAAACATATAGTTCTAAAGTTCAACCAATGTACCTTCTCTTATAGGGTTTTGATGATGACTGTCACTTACACTCTTTATGGAACACACATGAAAACAGTTTGTTCACTTAATGATAGTCTTACTATTTCATGTATTTTCATCACAGCATAAAAATAAATTGTCGGATTTTTTTAACAGCTTGGTATCTCGAGGCAGCCATTTTTTCTGCCTTTAAGATTTCTCCCTCTATAAGTTTCGTTGAATTAAAACATAACTTGAATATTCTAGAAAATCATAGAAATACATGTATATACATTTATATGTGTAGTGTGATTAAAATCAATACGATTACAAATGAATATTGTATTGTCGAAAACAAAGTTGAATTAGGATATATAATTATATGTCCAAGGAAGAACCAAATTCAATGTTTGAATTGTTATATGAAGAACAATTTAAGCTATAAAGAGATGAATAGGAAAAATGTAAATACCTGAGCATTATATTTGGACGGGATTGTAACTGATACTTTAGCCCGGGGTTCTATGATATCAATTAAGGTACTTATCGTTAATCGGAAAATATTTAAATATAAATATCATAAATGAATGAGATTTTTCTTCCATCTTATAATTGAACCTTTTCCAGAACTGCTTGTCAAAAAATTATTTCAAAAGAACCAATAAAAATGACATTTTTTAAATATTTCAATGTCTGCCATTTTGGGTAATTTCAGAGGACATTACTACCGTATCAAGGTAATCCCCAAAAAATCAAGTATGGAAGGATAGATGGGTCAAAACTTTCAAGTAAAGTTGTGAAAAACTTCCAACAGTTAACTTGCTATAAAATTAAAACTATATGAACAGACTATATGTCAGTATATGTATTTAAAACATATTTTAATTGACTGTGTAAAAACCATTAAGGAAAATGGTAGTAAAATATGAAGGTTTTATTCATTATTCACCAAATTAAATTTATTGGCAGATAAAATGAATCTAGTGTGCAAGTTTTACAAATATCAGCATCATCATGTGTTGCTTTTACTAGCGGTTTACTAGTAGTTTCAGAAAATTTAAATACCTTGATATCATAGAACCCTTGATATCATAGGAACCGAGTATATATATCAATATTGAAACTTTAAGGTGTACAATATGCTCCCTCTATATCAGCAAGCTACTATTGCAAATTCGAAAACATTTCAAAAATGCAAACAAATATGTTGTGTTTATATTGAACTACATTATTTTTCTAAAACTTGGTAACACCAAATAACTCCATCCTTCTTCGTCTTCAGATTATATTTTGGAAACACATCACGTGAAACTTTCTTCCATTTCCGGTTAGTTTCTAGTTTATCCATCAATGGTTCCAGATGTTTATATATCTCGTTATGTTTAACAAGTTCATGACGTGCTGCTAAAATAATATATCCACCTGAAAAGTGTAAAATAACAATTTAAATTAAGATACAAAAAACCGTAAATAGTTTCGTTAATGTCACTTGACCCTTACCGTTCTTGATTCGGGTGATAAAATTGTTGTACTTTTTATTTTGAGGTGACCATCGTTAGCTCAGAACAGCCGGTTGAAAAAAGTTTGGTCACAGTTGGTTTGACTTAATACTTGTGGGATATGAAATCCAATATCGGCTTAAGCATATAAATTGATACTGGCACATTATGCATCAGAAGAAACGAATATTTTTTTCTTTTTCAGAAAGGGCGAGCATAAATATTATAACGTTTAAAAAAATGGCTAAAAGGCATGCATGATGCCTATTACCGGAGGAAAATAGCTCTGAATGTGAAATAGCAAATTGTAAACAAACCAGTATTTTGGCTTCCATACAAAATAATAAGTCACTATAACTGTACACATTGCCAATAAAGCAACGGAAGTAAACGCTGGTTCAGTTAAATGACTAATTCGTATCTTTTTCGGAAACTGTAACATAACACCAATGTAAAAAAAGCTTGTAGGAAATAAGTTATTAATAAAACCATTTCTGGATATAAATTCACAATTGCTCGAAACAATAAAATTACGTACACAGTTATCAAATGGAGTAATCTTACGGCCAATGACGTTTGTAAAATAAAATCTATCACAGACTAATTCATCATAAGCACGATCTTTTGCAACACACTATTCTGACACTAGTGTCTATTGTGATCATCCGATATGTGAAGTAAAAGATATTTTACATCGATTATTTATTAATGATCTATCAAGTCACAGGATAAGTTAAATAAAATCATTTTACCTAGTTTTACCAGCCTTAACATCTCGTACAAAGCCTCATGTGGAACGTGAGCGCCCTCTCCATAAATACCACTTCCGGTTATGACGTCATATGTATCTGGATAAGATGACTATCAGTGATCATGATGATTAAAAGAATGCAACTAACAATTACTAATAAAGAAGCGTCTATTTCTACGTAAAATTTTATAAAGAGATGTAATGTTAAGTTATGCTGAACTGCATTACATCGCGCTTAGTTATTTAGCAATTTGAATAAACAATATAACTTTTGACTATTTGTCAATTTTGAAGCCTATGCTAAACAGATGTTCATAACACTCAAAATAATCTTATTTATAGTCTACGTTCGTTTAAGTAATAAGATCCGAAATTATAATAACTGTGAATTTCTTCAGACCGACGTCGATGAAGTTATGTTGTTCAGAGGGAACATTCTTCTTTTCAATTTTTGCATGGTTTAAAATTTTAACCGTCGTATAGGAATTCATTCTTCTATCAGGAAGAAGTTCAATTTTCATTTGATCATATACATACCAGCAGACAATGTTGTCGGTGATTTTGTCAGAAATTCCTGATAATAATTATTATAAAGGTGATCTTTCTTCGCTTTCTAACAACATTGATTCACTTGGTTCAAGAGCATCTAAATTTTTGAATCCTAATTTTTTAACTGAAATATAATCTGATAAACTATTAAATTGTATACGAAACAATAAAAATCAATATCATCTTTTTAACAGTGTGCCCGATTCGCTGCCTCAGCCATTTTACACAAAAATAATAAAAATCCAACAAAGGTGAGTACGATTGTAAACAAAGGGAAGTAAGTCCTACATGTATTATGAGTGGTAAGTTTAACGACTGAAACAGAAATAATGAGTGATCATTAGCAGAATAAGACAGACTTTCACTATAAAACCATATGTTGAAATGAAACAGAATACAGTTAGAAGTTAAAGAATAAGTTTTGCAAACTATCTCTTATGACTGGAGTAAATTTGTTTTTTCATAGTACGTCACAAAACTCATTGTGACCAATCTTAACTTGTATTTATCAGATCGAACACGCACTGAACTAATGCATTATAATACATAAAACGTACCTCGACAGCAACTAGCCCCGTGCCTGCACCAACATCAAGAATGTTAACATTGTCTCGTACATCCTTCGGAAATAAATCTGCAACCCTTTGAGCAACCTTTGCCGGTCCAATATAACAGTATAATTGACATTCCTGCAAGTTTTATTAAAAATGTTAAGAGAAAACATTATGACATATTTTTTTTCAGACATTATTTATATAGTTTGAGAAAACAGACTTACAAATTTAAGAAGTGATACAATGCAAAGGTCTTGACCATACGACTCAACAGACTCAATTAAACCAGGTCAATAGGTTTTTATCTGTCTTAAACATAAATGGATATGTTTGGTTTTGAAATTGTTGTTACACGTTTCATTACATATACAGTTGTTTGAATAATATACATGTATAAGCATTTTGTATCGTATTTTCACTAACCTTATTGTAACTGGAAGCCAATTTTTGGTATTCCTTTTGTGTTTCTTCTATGCTTGAACCAAAGTTGTATCCACTCATGATCCTAACATTTTCATAGAAATGACATTATAATGTTTATATGGATTTTAGTCACTTATAATTAGCTGATATACTAATTGTAAACTAGTTTAACATTTCATCGATAAACATTTTAATATAAGTGAAAAGGGTGCAATTATGAAAAATTAGTTTAAAATACTTACTAGTATATGTTTCGCGAAATTTAGACGTCGACAGAATCCCCGAGTATTTTTAAAACTAGGCATGTGACTTAAACAAACCCTGGACGTTACAATAACATATATTGTGGATATTATATGATTGAAACAAACCTAATTAAATCATTCATTTGACATGTTCTTAAACGTATCCAAAGCTCACTGTGACAACTATTGTGAAATTTTAATGCTCTAACCTGACCCACGTGGGTCAAGTTAGGAAACCTCCATTTTATTCTTTATAAGAAGATAAATTTTGTTCCTGTGACTGTCTAATGTATTCATTTTGAGGACATTTACAGAATAATGAATAGAAAAATGAAATCGAAGAAATGACAATTTTGCTTGTGTCTCCATTTAAAAAACAAAACATAATTGAAGACATTCAAGTTACTTTAGTCAGGAGCATAGAAGATGGTGAGGCAAAGACACAAGGTTACGTTTTATTTTTACTTCTGTCACTTTGTATTCAATATGTTCATACACAATTTTAAAGGATTTTCTTACCAAAGAGTTTATTTTGTATTGCAAATCGATCTTAAATATGTTTCATTATGTTTAATTTCATTGAAATTTACTTTTGATTATGTCATTTATTGCAGATACACTGAGTGAACTGGTTACCAAATCTTTTGACGAGATTTGGCTTCTACTCGAAGTAATTTATAACAAATTTACAGGATATAAAGCATATAAATTAATAGAAAATATGAAAAAAGAAAGATTTGTATCCACACGAAACAGTATTTTCATTTTCACATGGACATGTTAAATTATATCATAAAAGGTTTAATGATATGTATT